TTAGGTGACCTACAAACTAGCATTATTTGAAAAAGCATTTGTTTAATGGATCACATACATTTCACTAAGCTTCCGGCACGGACGTCCGACTATAATAGCGGTTCCGACTCGGGCGGGAATTCCGCATAGATGTTATTAACTCAAATCAAGTAAAAGTAGTTTTATTCAATGGTTTTATAACACTGTAATAAGCATTTTGAGCTGAAATAACAGTTAGTATCTGGTATGGTTTATAGGTGAGAATCATAAACTTCTTTATTGTTTCTGATTTCGTAACCAAATATTCCTATCTATGATATCTATCTCACTGTCTATACGCTATCACAGAGACGAATTTTGAAGCTATGAGAAACACACTATTTAAACTTATACATATAATACGAAAATGTAATGCTGTAAACTGCATCAACATTTTAACACCAGAAGAGTACCTAAAGTTACACATAGGATTCTTCATTCTTAGGACAAACATTGTAAAATATGATAATTTATCAAATTCTTGTTTTTGTGAATCTATGGGTACACCATTGAAAATAATATTGAGGTTCCTAATATATTTCATTTGTGACGAATCATGGCTTTGTAGAAAATTCACAGAATCATACTAAAATTCTAATCTACTTAAAACAATAATTATGAAAATATTTTTGTTTTTAATTTAAAGAGAGAGACTCAGATTATACAGAAACTGTACTGAACCTGTCTTAATTTTTGTACAACTGCATACTAAACAATTGTGCATAATTTAACGTTAAAACTACACTAAGATTTTTTACTTAAACCTTTCAATTCAGAGTCTATTTCGTCGGCAGAATTTACGAGTGGCCAGTAACACCCTTCTACCTTACTTTTTTTTTTTTTTTAATCTTTATTTATTTAAAGGACCTTTATCTGTAGACATGCCGGTCCTATAGATACAAATCGGAAAAACCCTAAATAAGTAAGACACAAAGTAACAATAACAGTTAAAACTAACTAGAAGCTAACAATGAAATAAAAAGATAATGAAATTAACTTAAGATTATAGCCTAATATGAACAACCAAAGTAAACAGACTGAGAAATTACAATAAAAATTTACATTAAAACAATTAAATATTACGTTGTTACAGATTTTTAAAAATATCGTAAAGTTTTTTTGCTGCATTAGAGTTAGGATATGACAATATACTGTGAAAAATACCGACATCCAGTCTGTTTATCTTTAAATCCCTACATAATAGTTCTCTGCCTTGTCGAAAACGTTCACATTCCATCAAGCAATGTTGGACATCATCAATCGTGCCACAAATTTCACAATTGGGTGAATCATATTTCTTCATCATGTGTCCAAACTTCCTTGATGGTATATGACCGGATCTCAGCCTTAATGCTGTAACCACTGTTGTTCTGTCAAAATTACTGTGGCTAAACCAAGGGCAACGAGGAGGTTGACTTTGAATAATTTTATACCAAATGCCTTTTTGTTTTGACTTTTGGTTAAAATATTCTGTCCAAATTTCATAACAATGTGTTTTATATACATTTAATATTTCAGAATAATAAGGTAGTATTTGAAAGTTATTTCCATGTTGAGCTCCTAATTTTGCCAGTCGGTCTGCCACCTCGTTGCCCTCTATACCAACATGAGAAGGAATCCACTGAAACTTAATTACAACACATTTATAAATTAAAGTTTGAATTTTCTTCAGAACTTCATATGCCATAGGCAGTCCCCTTTGTCCTTTACTACATATTTTAATTAGATGTTGTAAAGCACTTTTACTGTCAGTAAAAATCACTATTTTGGATAACCCGCAAGAGTCAATATAAGATAGTGCCTCCGAAATTGCAACTAACTCCAATGACATTATAGAAACAGGCTGAGTAATCTTGAAACACTTCTTTTCATTTTTCATTGGGTCATAAAAGGCAGCTCCTAAACAATTTTGAGACTTAGATCCGTCAGTATATAGCCTATGCCAGTCGTTATAGTTATTGTTTAATTCCTTAATAACTTCAAGCCTTAAAAAATCAGAATCATAAGTTCTTTTGGAATTCGTTACAGATTGCAACGTACATGCAATTATTTTATTTATATCCAAGTAGCTGACCCATATATTTAATTTAAACATTTCTAAAGGGTAAGATGAACTAATATTATATTCTTTAGTTTTTTCATGACATATAGCCAATAATGGTTTTTTCTTTTTCCGCCAAAAAGGATTTGAGGTTAAACTATACAGATTATCTAGTAAGGTTGACGATACATTGTTTTCCCACGAATTCATTTTTAAACAATATTTTAAAGCTAAATATTTTCTTCTTACTTCTAAAGGAGGAATGCAAAGCTCGCACTCCATCGCATGGATTGGAGTGCTTTTTATAAAGCCACCTATTATGCGTAATGCTTGGTTTTGAAGTCTATCACATTTAGATATGCTACTTTTAACACAGTTGTCATAAACGAAACTTCCAAAGTCCAACCTGCTTCTTATTAAGGATATGTAAAGCCTTCTCAGATGAATCGGATGAAGCCCCCAAGATCTACCTGCTAAAACTTTAAAGAGATTTAAATATTTTGCACATTTTTCGACCATTTCATTGACATGTTTACTCCATAAGAGAGATTTGTCTAGCCAAAGCCCCAAATACTTAATGCAGTTACTATATGCTAACGAATGTTCTCCTATCTTTAATTGTACAGAACTCCTTTTGCGTCTCCTACTAAATATACATATGGTTGACTTGCTGGCCGATAAATTTAAACCGAGTTCATCCAAAAGCTCACCCATAACATTCAAAGCCAATTGTAAATTGTATTCACAAACTTGTAAATTCCTATTACTTATATAAAAAACAAAGTCGTCGGCATATTGAGCTACATTAACGTTTTGTATGACGTGACAGATTTTACTTGTTACAATATTAAATATTAAAGGTGATATTGGGTCTCCCTGAGCCAGGCCCCTACTAGTAGATCTCATTGTCATCTGTCCACTAACATCCTTTTTAATAATCAAAATACGTTCCATTAAAAAGTTCCAAAAGTACTGACAAATAGATTTGCCTAATTGTAAATCATCAAAAATCTTTGTGATTTGATTTACCGAAACATTATTGTAAGCATCTTCCACGTCTAAAAAGCAGGCTACAGTTGGCATATTTTCCGAAAAACCTATTTGTATTTTTGTTACCAAACGTACCAAACAGTCCAAACATGATTGGGATTTTCTAAAACCAGTTGTTAGTTTAGAAATTATTCTATTATGTTCAGTATACCACTCAATACGTTTTCCCAACATATTGTGAAAAGTTTTGCAAACACATGAAATTAAGGAGATTGGTCTAAGCTTAGGTATTGCGCCAGGATCTCGTGTAGGTTTAGGTATAGGTACTATGTAAATACTGCGCCACGGTTTCGGAATCGAACCTGATATTAACACAGCATTATATATGTCAAGTAAATATTGTTTTGCTACGTTCGGAAGATGATACAACATAGAATATGTAATGCCGTCCTTTCCAGGTGCCGTATCTTTCTTTTTTAAAGTGTTTATTAGCTCCTGAAAGGTTAACTTTGATTCAAGCAGATGATTTACTGATCTGAATATTGGCATTCTTTCCGACACTGTGTCCGGCGCAAGAGAGCTTAACATATCCTCCTGTTGTTCATCTGAAGGATAATATTTGTTCCTTTTGTATCCCTTAAACCACCTCATGCGATTCCACATTTCTGACACAGAAACAGTTTGGTCCAAACCTGAACAAAAACGTTTAAAGCTTTCTAATTTGACTTTCCTTATGAGTACACCTGCATTTTTTATTTTGTTTTGCAAAATATCGTAGTTTTGAGGAGTTGGATTCTTTCGAAATCTACTTAGTGCTAATCTTCTTTCAGCCACAACTTTAGATAGGTCGGCATTCCAATAATGCTTAGGTTTAAAATTAGTTTCTGGATTAGTAGAAAACGTAATGTATGGTATACATTTCTCAGCCGCTTTTTCGATTTCCGTTATAAAATAATTATATCTATCCTGTACATCTGAGATAACATCAGGTACATTAGTAAAAGGTTCTATTAAGTAATCTCGATATGCCAACCAGTTTGCTTTCCGAAAGTTTAGTTTTTTAAAAGTTGTCGAATAATCCTTATAACTCATACTATACTTAATAACTAAGTGGTCACTACCTAGGGACTCATTAAGAACATTCCAAGAAAATTGAGTTGCGACATCTAAAGAAACAAAGGTAATGTCTGGAGAGGATCTTTGAACATTATTGTCAACTAATTTAATTCGAGTATAACTACCATCATTTAATGACATAAAATTACAGTCTAAAACTGAGTCTAGTATCTGGCATCCTCTTGAATCAGATTTGTTGGACCAGTTGGTGTGGTGAGCATTAAAATCTCCAGCAATTATGGTTTTAGTTCTAAACAACGCGAATAGTTCGTCCCAATCTCCCTGATCTGTTCGAATGGACGGGGAGCAGTATACACTTATGATATTTTCCAGAGAATTACAATTTAACAATTTTATATGTAAGGCTTCTATACCAAGGTTTCGTAACCGAATGGGACATAATCTAGCATGAATTGATTTATGAGTTAAAATAGCTACCCCACCATAAGAGTCCATTCTGTCTTTCCTAAATACGTTATAATTACTTATATTTAAGTTACATTCGGGATTTAGCCATGATTCGCTAACAATAGCTATGTGTATCTTTTCCCGTGATAAAAGTGAATCGAAAATTACTAATTTAGGCTTAAGGCTTTGAGAGTTCCATTGCAAAATATTAATACAAAATAATTTTAGATTATCCATTGCTAACTCCGAAAAGATTAACTAACCAATTACCTTCACTAAACAAATTTCTCAAATAATTCTTGCTCTCTTCAAAAAACAACTTAACTATCAAAATAACTTTCTCCTCAAATGAATTATTAGTCATAATAATATCCTTCACTTTTGACCACAGCTTATACAATAAACTTTTTCTATAATTTCGACTAACTTCAGGTTCAGGTTCAGAATCGGCTTGTAGGGCTTCTCTTTCAAGGTTATCCTGTGCTGCTGACTGCTTATTGTTGCTAACGTTTCTTTTAGATTTTTTGTTGCTATTTATTTTCCTAGCTTTTTGAGGAGCTGAACCTATAATTGGACTTCTTGTTCTGTCTTGCTTATTTAATTCTTCATTTATTTCATCAAATTCCATAACCGTAACATTTTCCTCGTCTCTGGTAATAGTATTTATAGATTTATTAATAATTGTAGGAGGTTCATATATAATGAAGCACTGTTATTGATCGATATAGTTTCTTTAATACTTTAATTACAATATTGTGTGTGTAGTATTGCGGTGGGAACAGAAAAAAAGGAAAGATAAAATGGCTGTCACCCGGTATCAAGGACAGTAGCGACATGCGGCACAAAATGGAACTAACTATTATTGCGTTCCAATTCCTACATCCACCCCTGAACGCAATCCCATATTTGTTATACAATACAAATGTTTATTTATACTAACAGCTTTAGTTAAAATGTCTGCAATATTTTTACAACCTTGTACAAAACAAAACATCAATTCTTTACTGTGAACATGATCTTTAAGAAAATGGAATTTAATATCTATGTGTCTAGACCTAGGCATATAACAATCGTTTGTTGAGAGCTTGATAGCACTTTGATTGTCACTGTGAATCAGCAACGTGTCGGAGCCCCCCCCAAGCTCCGCCTGCAGCTGCCGCAGCCACAGTGCCTCCAATCCCTCTTTAGAATAGCTTGAACTCTGTTGTAAAGTTGTCATTCTTCCTATTTCTTTGTTATGGCTTTTCATTTGATCTGATAACATTGCCATAGCCTTACCATAAGAGATATTTTCTTGAGACATTATTTCTCTTATTTTCTTCTCCCTTAAATACATTGGACATGATTTGTCAATAGTTATATGAGGTCCTTTGCAATTGAGGCAAACAAAATCCTGTGTTTCACAATTAACATGATTTCCCCCACACTTTGGACATAGAATTTTCTTAGTGGGGCAAAACTTGATAAAGTGACCGAATTTCCAGCACCCAGAACATTGGGACACAGGGAATACAAAGGGTTCTACTTTAAATCTACACTCATATGCATATACATATGCTGGATAAGTAGATCCTTTGAAGCAAATACGCACCGATTCGCTGTCCACCCATTTTCCTTCGAAATCGTATCGCTTTAATCGCTTCACACTAAGATTTCGTTTGTAGACTTAAGATTTTCAAAGATTTCACTTTCCGATATGTCAAGGTCAACACCTTTTATTACTCCGTATGATAACGATTCCAAGGTCGATGAACATTTATACCCAAGTTCCTGGAACTTTTGGTTATGTATAAGTATATCCGCATCTTCTTTTTTAGCCAATTTTATAATAATTTTATAAGGGTTTTTGTAAATAATATTTAATATGTTACGGATATTTTCCGATTTCAAAAGTCTTGCCATCGCCATTGGTTTTGGTAAATTTTTCAAAGACGTCACAATAACATCATATTTTTCCTCTACGTTTATTTCCACCGGGTTGCTACAGTTATCATTTTTACTAGTTATAGACTCACTTCTTATCAAACGCTTCGGTTTTCGCCTGATAACAGTAACGAAACCATCTTCACTACTACCCTCACTTTTTTCACGCATTCTTTTCGATCTTCCAAGTTCTTGAGATTCCTGCCTGTTTTTATCTTCAGATTCTGAGATATTTTTCAACACTCTCTCACACTGTTCAATAATATCATCCTCACTTTTTCCACTTAAGTCATTTAAATTGTCATCATCACTATTATTCTCCTCCATACCAAATAATATTCAGATGTGGGTACCCTTAAAACTTTTATAAACACTAATCGTTATAAGAGTATGTGCGTATTGGACGCCTGCCCGCGCGCAACTGATTCTACCTTACTTGCGTTAATGTTCAAGCATTAGGTACACCTATCCAACTGATTGCTTAGCGGTTCTGAAAAAAAAAACAAAAGCACTCGCCAATCCTGCTAAGTGAATGAGGCTTTGCGAAAAAGTGTATGTTGCGAACAAATTCTATGTTTTTAAAAGATGAAAATTAGTTTGATTTCTTTTTCGGTATGTTTGATATTATGGAGAAGGATTGTAAGTACAATAATATACATATAATTTACTATACTAATATTTAATTCTTGATTTTATATTTTTTTATGCAATTTTTCTCAAATCTACTTACATTTTATTGTTCAAAAGATTATGTGGGTAAGCGAAGTTGACTGTGCACTGTATTTCTACAGATTTTTTTATGAAATAAATAAAAGAGTCTATAATGCAATAATTTTAACGATGTTTAGGGGTCACCAATTAAGAGTTTTAGCCCAATATCACTACTTTGGGGTTTCGTACGTCGTGTTCTAGTGTGTTGGGGTGAGGTTAATTGAAACGACTAATTCCGATCGTAGTTTATTTGCGACTGTTCGTACATGCATCGCGGGCGCAGCCGCGCGTTATAGTGAATCTGCGTTATAGTGACATAGCGTGACGTGTACATTGTGTTCCTACAGATGGGAGAGCCAAGCCCCGGCAGGATTGGTCATCTCAACCGGAGTGATACAACGGCCTCTCAATCAACCGAATTGAAATAACAACAGCGTTATGCAAAATTTCCGGCAACGCATTCGTAAACCCTCTTGTGTTACGGATGTCCATGGGCGTCGCCGGTTGCTTACCATCAGGCAATCCGTCTGCTTGTTTGCAACCTATCACATAAAAAAGAGTCAGTTTTATTTAACAAATTAGGAAAAGGTGTCTGCTTAACGAGCACTATAATGTGTAGTCAAAACAAAATCTACTTTAAGCGCCCCTAATATAGCTTGAAACTAGTCGGGTTCCTTTTTAAACTTTTACGTGACTAAAGCCACAAAACATATATTTTACAAAAAAAACTATTGTCATGAGCACAGTTAATGACATAAAAAAACATAAAACTATAACAATATTATTTATACGAAACACTCAGAAAATGTCGACCGTAAATAATTCATATTCGTTTGAAAATAATTATTAATCTATGGCATAAATTAAATTATTCTAGGCCTAACACAGTCTGAATAGTTTACTAGAAATAGAAACAATTTATTAAGGTTTGACAATAAAATAATATTATCATGACAAAAGAATTTTATGCTATTATTTATTTTATATAATACTCATATGAGATGGGTATTTATTTTACGGGACGTATATACGTATGTATAATTCAAGTTTCTAGTACTTTCATCAGGCCCGATTTTATTATTAATATTGTTTTTTATCCATATCTACATAGGCTTTTCATTGTGCTCTTTTTCTTCACTTAACCGGTAAAGCTAATTTGTATCGATGGTTTTATGTTGTACCTACTGATTTACTTATTAAATGAATGATGAAAAATCAATTAAACTATTATATGTTGTTTGTGCATAATGTGATGTTTATATGGTACTCGTAAATAAAGATAATAATCAATTATAAAAATCCACTTAAACAATATTCAGCAAATGTACCATGTTCCTGGCCAGAAACAGGAAAAGGAACAGGGTCGTTTCTAAACAGCAAAAGTCTGACAATCCTTCTAGCACTCCGCCTAATCATCTGTCGGGCCAATAACCGTCGGGGGTATGCGACGAATGCTTCGGCAATGTAGCAACACCGGGTTGGTTTTTAGTCAGTAAGAGTCTGATAGTACCCCTCGCACTCCCCCGAGGGCGGTGGGTCTCCATGAGGATTTTCCAACCCGATACCAAAAAAAAACCTCTAGCCCCAGGGCGGGAAAAGTATAATTATTTATATTAATAGATGTGATGAAATATATATGTCAATCGATGCTGATAATCTTTTCTGGCGCAATGTAGGTAGTTAGATATATGTTGTTTCTTTTATAAATTAAATCTTTTATTTACTTTTACCTACACTGAATGCTTATTTGTATATAAAGTACAAAACATCCAGTAATGAAATTAAAAAAAAAACAAACCAATTTTCATTTATTTATTTATTGAGCTTTATGCACACATATTTTGGTACATAAGCGCACTTAATGCCGTTGGCATTATCTATCAGTCTCAACATTAATAGTTGAGTACCTTCCACCAAAACTGCTGCACTTAGAGCCAAAAATCCCATGACAATATCAGCAACACAATAATAATAAAATAACCACTCGACCTAAATCCACCTAACCTAATTACCCACTGAAATTGCCCCTACTTTCACTGCGAATGCTGAAACATTAACTAGAATCGAGCCTTGGTCCGGTCGGATGTCAGGGGGAAAAGTGCTCTGCACAATTTGCATTTATTTACGGGTTTTCACAGGTAAGGAACAAAATAAAAGGTTCTACTTTTTTGTAGAGTCAGTAAGGGACTTGCAATCGTAAATTTTATTCTGTTTTGTATATACTATTTGGGGCCTGATAAGCGTGATAGGTAGGAATTATGGCCGTCAGTTTTGGTTTTTTATGTGAGGTCAATGGTTTTCTTGGTTTAATGCTGGTGTCACAACCAAGTTAAAATTGTTCACGTGGCACTTACTTTCTTTTTTTTGGCATCATGAGTCATACTTCGGTCTTAATTTGCCGGCTCGAACGGGAGTGATACCATGGCCTTACAGAACACCGGCGTGAAACAACGCTTATGTTATGTTTCACCGTGTGAGTGAGGTTACCAGAGGTCCAATTCTTCGCAACAGGCAACACTACGAGCATCGGGGATCAAGGGACGATCTCCGGCCACCGTAAGCGCGGGTCTGCGGTCAGCGAGTAAGGGCAACTCGCCGCCCGACCAGAACCGGTTCCGCGCGCGCCTCAAAGAGCCAATAGACCACCACAGATGGGGCCCTATAGAGCTGATGTTCAGCTGGGGTTGAGGGGTAAGGGCAATGAGGCACCGCAACCTCGGCCCAGAGCACGAGAAGGAACAGGGGGTTTTTAGTCACTAAGAGTCTGACACTCCCTCCCGTCCAGCCCTGGGTGGGAAAAGTCATTTGATGATTTTCCCTTCACAAAAAAAGTGGTCCAAATCTTGCCTCAATCCCCAAACCCCTATCTCTAAATCCCTTATAACCCACAAAAATACCGGCAACGTACTTGTAGTAACTCTAATTCTAGTTCTAGTCTACTTATAGTATCTTGTAGCAGTACTTTGGTATTAAGAGTTTCCTCGGGAAGCACCAATTGCTTACCATCAGGTAATTAAACGGCACACTTGACGATCTATTCCTTAAAAATAAAGCATAAAACTACAATACAAACGTTCTCTATTACGTATCATTCACGATCTTAATCAACCATTGAGATCCCTTTGATATCGACCACATCTGACCGATTTAACAATTTTCAATATGAGCGCCATTCAACCTCGTGTCTGCTTCCTATTAGCTTCCTGACTAGTGTCGCCTCAAGGCTTCTCTTGCTTCAGAACTTGGAACTAACTGTGGACTGTGACTACGTTCTTCATGATTCAATGGTGGGTATGTGTTTGTGAGATTTCTGTACCTACATACAGTGAAGGTTTTTATTAAGAGTCTATTGTTACACTGTCGTGGATATTGTAAAATAAACAATATGCTATTAGTTATAAAGTTAACTTTTGAACTTACCCTTTAATCAGCAACTGCATAAACTTCTCTTTCGCGTTCAATGAAGTACTATTTTCACGCAAGCAATTGTTTAGTTCGGGATAATAACTTTGTATGCTTACAAAGTATACACATTTTTCTTAAGACCGTTAATGTGGCGCGTATCTCAAAACATTCAAGTTCATAAACATGGAAGTAACGGAACGTATTTTAATGCACCTTAGCACTCAAAATCAAAATTATGATTATCGAAAAATTGTCCCAAGATTAGAGATAGGAATAATCTATTTTAATTTTCTTTGGAAATTTGCGTATCTCTCTGCTCTATTATGACATTAAACTGAGCTCGAACCCATATATATATATCTTAAGTTATAAATATAAAACAGAATATTTATTTTGCGCTTGAGCCATAGTATTTAAAGTTATAAATATTTAATTCCATACCTTACTTATTTAATTTACTTTAAAATACATGTTTCAGACCAAAGTGTGTTCTTTGAAGGTAATGTCATTCGAAATTTGCCTCCATATAGTTCAGTTATTCAATACAGTTCATTTGTTTGTTTTGTATTTCGGTCTAAATTTAAATAATTTTAAAACTCATTAGTTTTCGAATATTTAGCCCCAATTCGCTATAAACAGGAGTTGGTTCGCATAGCTACCATAAAGGGGCCACCACATAATAGTTTGAGAAACTCAAAAGTTATAGAGAATGCGTCAAGTTGAGCTATTCTCAAAGTTTTCTGCCCCCTTTTGGGGAATACCTCACGAGATTGTTGGAGATCAAATGTGTTTACTGTCATTGTTGTCCAACTATTCACTTTGTTGAAGGAATTTTGATTCTTAATTAATACTAATTATAAGCGAGAGTGGCTTAAATCATAAACATTGAGGTTTTTTATTTAGATAACTTGTGCAATATTCGGAAAGGAGTTTATCCGTGATTTATTCTCAGAGTTAATTTGACGATTTCTTAATCGAGTTTTTAGCAATTTCATACATGACATATTTCTTTTATAACTAAGCCTTAATACTTAACGATGTGTGGTGATCTTGTAATAAATAAAACTTAATGTTTCTGAGTACGAAAAAGTCACTTCACAAATGTAGGTAAGTATAAATTTACCATTATAGCGCATAGTATGTGCGCTTAATTTTGAAGCAGCTTTTTAATAGATAGAGAAAGATGCATGTAGGGACAGGTCCAATGATTA